CTCCCCTGTGTGTGTGTGTGTGTGTGTGTGTGTGTGTGTGTGTGTGTGTGTGTGTGTTGCAGTTCTCCAGTAGATAAGAGCATGCAAATGAATTATCAATGTGTAAACATAACGGTTGAAGACTGTAAATAAAAGCTGAGAAATAACCACTATTGTGCCCTTGAGTGCAGAGCTATTTGCTTTAAGGGGAATTTCCTAATAAGTGTGCCGTAAGGTGCTTTGTGTAAAGCATCCAGTAAATGACTATTTAAAAGGTCATCTCTGACCCTCAGTCTTTCTTTCTCATCTACTACAGGTAAACATGCAGAGGATGTGTTTGGTGAGCTCTTTAATGAAGCCAATACATTCTACCTGCGTGCTAATTCTCTACAGGACCGTATAGATCGTCTTGCAATCAAGGTCACTCAGTTGGACTCTAGTGTGGAGGAAGGTCAGTCAAAGGTCAAAAGTCAAAGATCACATGCACTTTACCAGAAATGGGATGCATATTTAATAGGATATTCCAGGCTAAACCTAACATGCATAAGGAATGTGGGTCAAAATGACCCATGCATCCCCTTTCTTTGGTATATTTTATTTTTTCATGATGTGGTCTTTTAATCTGACATTCCCAGAATTCCTACAATAAGGTGTCTTTGATCATATGAACTTTTTTTTCCATGTATGTTATTTCTTTGTTATAATGAAATTTGTACCATTACCCTTGGACTGCGCATATAGGCTTAAATCATTGATGGTTAAAAATTGTCATTGGTAAGCAACAACATGCCTCAGACAGTACGTTGTTAAGAGTTATATCTGAAGAGTTCACTTCAGATGCAAAAGCCTCTAAGTGCCATCTGAAATTTTCTTCTAAAATTTGTATTTTTCTCAAGCTCCAATGTTTGTGTTCAGTTATTTCACTTTAATGGCAATGAAAAGAACCTATTCATTTCCATTAAAGTGAAATTACTGAACCTACACACAGGAGCCTGATAAAAATGTTCATTTTAGAAGAAAATTTCAAAGGGAACTTAAGAGACTTTTGCATCTGAACTCTGCATTTCTTTAAATGTGTCACAATAACAGAAGAAGATGACACTGGTACATCCAGGTCTTTATTAGCAGGAATGTCAGAAATTCAAGCGATCCATGCAGGTGAGTAAATAAGTTCATAAAATGGCTTGAGAAACTTGGGTGAAAAACAGTCCTTTTCTTTCTTTCTTTCTTTTTTTAAATTATATTTATGGGTTTTTATTCCTTTATTACTCAGACAGGACAGTTGAGAGATGACAGGAAAGCATTGGGTAGAGAGAGGGGAGCAGGATCGGCATAGGACTTCAAGATGGGAATCTTGGGTCATAGTGAGCACAGTTGGGCTGTATCACCGCACTAACCATGAGGCTATCGATGCCGACAACAGTCCCGTTCAATGCAGGTGCTGGCTGGTATAACGTCTCAGGTTACGTATGTAACCATGGATCCCTGAGTAGGGAACGAGACACTGCGTCCTCTAGGGGTCGCTATGGGGAACGCCTCGTCGTGACCCATGTCTGAAGCATACATTCAAAAAACACCAACAACACGTTGGCTGGCGACAGCCCATGACTACTAGGGTTGGGTATCGTTTGGGTTTTTTTCGATACCGGTGCCAAATCAATACTTTTAAAACGGTTCCGGTGCCTAAACGGTGCCTGAACCGATACTTATTAAAAAATAAATAAATAAAAAATCCCCCAAAAAATGATGGATTGGCCATTAGAATAGAAATAGAACAGAGAGTGCAAATGTTAGAGGGTCAAGTTTTTTAATAAAAAAAAAACAAGCAGATAAGAGACACACTGGTTGAGTGGAGCCCAAGGTACCGGGTCTAAGCCAACTCAGAGAAAGGGAACGAGGCTAAAAACACGTAACCCTTACCATACAGGATTTCAGAAAGTGCGCAGAGTCTAGACTTCCTGCTCAATGCCTCAGCAAGAGGGGATATCCTGGTGACCAAGAAGCCCCTCAGGGCGACCTAGGTACGGCGTACCAGACAGGGCAGCCTGAAAGCATAAGCCCAGCTGGCTGGATACAACATCAACGAGTGAGGAAAACACTGCAAGACGAGCTCCCGGTTTCTGAATCCAGCAGAGGGGGATGCTCCCCGAGGACCTACCCTAGAAAAGACAGAAACACACAGGTCCCGGAAAACACCGCAAAGAAGGCTCGCAGATGGATTATACACACAACCACCAGCGCATTAAATACATATATATATATATATATATACAGAAATGGATCGTACTCACCCGAGCACTGGCCCCTGGATCAGACGATGTTAAATTAAATAACATCATCCTTCAGCGGCTCACTCTCATCCACAGCCAACGAGCGATTGGGGGAAAGCCCCTCTTTAAACTCATCGGCCAGATCCACCTGCGATCCCCACAAGCTCATTCTCCTCCGCGCCTCAGCAGCGGTGGGTCCTGAACCGCGGGGAGCAGACGGCTGCCCCTCTCTCCTCGAAAAGAGAGACAAACGAGAGCGGAGCTTTTTCATTGGAAAACGCTCGCAGTGAACGCAGATTGCCCCCTCGAGGACATCGCGTGCGTGCTCCTCGCCCAAACAAAAAAACGCAGAGATCGTGTGTGTCATCAGATGTCAAATAACGATGATACGGATGCACACATCCTCTAAACGCCTTGCTAGTGCTCACCATAATAAAGGAATAAAGATCGCTCTTACCACGGAAATGCACGCTTCAAACAAAACGGCCAGTGAAGACCAAGAAGAGGATGATGTGTTCTCCCGGCGCCTATTTATACTATAGTCGCACCGGTAGTGACGTCATGGGCTGTCGCCGGCCAACGTGTTGTTGGTGTTTTTTGAATGTATGCTTCAGACACGGGTCACGACGAGGCATTCCCCATAGCGACCCCTAGAGGACGCAGTTCGAAGTTCCCTTGAAAGGGAACTGAAGAGACAGAAGACTGATGGAAACTGAAGACAGGATGATGACAGGTAAGTATTACAAGTTGAGTAGACTGGGAAGCAGCTACATTGGGAACAACGAGACCAGGCCAAAGTGAAGTGGAGAATGAGAGAGACGGGCGTCTAGAGTGCCGGCTGGCTTACCAACGTCTAGAGTGCCGGCTGAATAAGGGGTGTTTGGGGGGCCGGCTGACTGACTGACTGAAGGGTTAATTTCAGCAAACCTAATGAAACAAAAAGACAAATAGAGAGTTCAAAAGTGGCATCCATGGCCATGAAGGAACATTGATAGGAGACTCAGTAATTACCTCCTTGGTCGCTTCATGACACACAGGAAACTTGGGATCGAACACCTCCACTTCGATACGAGTGGGAGAGCAGTGTGCAAACACACATTATGTCACTGCAATAACAGGGAGAGCAATCAGTGGTGGAAGGGTCTCGGAATCCTCTAGGCTTAAAACTATCTGGCCAGATACTGGCATGATGGCCATGACATTAGGAGACTCAGGCATAGCATTCATGATAGTGGGAGACACTGACTTGATGGCCATGTTGGTTGAAGATTCTGGTGGTAGAACAGGTACTGTGCTGAGCTCTGGGACGAGTGCAAGCTCCTGACTGTGTGCTGGGAATTGAATAGGCTCCTGGTTGAGTTTGGGAAAACAAGCGGATTCCACGCCGAACTCTGCAGTGGACTCTTGGTCTGGGGGAATGCTCATAAAGACTCACAATGAACTTACTGGTTCACTGTAACTGGAGCGGACTGTGGACTGAGAATTTACAGACAAGATAGGTGGGTCCACTAGCTATGCCGTTAGGTCTGCGCTGTTTGAGACAGCTTTCTTCACCCGAAGAAAATCCGGAACACTTGCTGTGATGGTATTGGAAGGCATAGTTGCATAGTCGTGAGGAGGGCAGCTGGCGTTGGTTTTATCCACATGGCAGACAGTAACCTCTCCCACAGTGAAGGATGAACCACTTAGCCACAGTGCATAATCAATATAGCGCTCCGAAGGACAGGTGGTAATTGGATGCCGGCATCTGATTATCATCTAATCCGCCCCAGAAGATTGTTTTCAAGGTTCACTCATTCCATGGAACCAAGTTGGAAAAATCAAGAAATTCTTCAACATAATATTCAATTGGATAGCCATCTTGTGGAATGGAGAGGAGTAAATTAGCTGGGTCAAATGATATTATGTCGGATTGATTAAAAGATGGCGGCGCGTTCGCACAGAAGACTCCACCTCCTCCCGGCGACCAGGTGATGACGCTGTCCCCGGACAGC